AAAATATTGTCGTAAAATTGGAAATATTTTATTTTAATTAAACAGTAATAAAGGGAAGTAACAATAATACATTGAAGAAACAAAAGCTGTAACTTTGACATTTTGTCACAAAATTTCTTGAAAAGTGGCGATATGTCCCAAATTAAAAGAAATTGTTTGTGGCCCTAGGCAGAATTTAACAGAGGGGTAAGATTATATGAAGCTGTGTAATACAGATATCTTTCAAAAGGGAAGTTACAAAAAATATGATTTTTCTAGATGATTTGCTGTTAGGCATTTATTCCTCAGCTGATAAAATTATTTTATGTTTCAATCATAGAATAGTAAAAGGTGTTAAGCCAATATCAGATGATCAGTATATTTCCGTGTTGTAAACACATTCATATATATGTACATACAATATATAAACGCAAGGTTTTAAGCAAGCGTTAAACCGTTTCGTATGAACCTTGTATGGCATAACTTGAATGTCTGTTAAGATCTGTGCAGATGTGAAACTAAGGTTAAAGGTGAAAGATTTCGACACTGATATTCCATAATGTCAGTATTATAGTACTCATTTTATACTTTGACAGGAGGTACGCTTAAGTAAAGCCAGCAATAAGGGTTAAAATTTGAAACCATGAGCTTATCAAAACAGTCTAAGTAAAAATTTTGGGTTGTCGTATTGTTTATGAAATGCATGGTCTTATTTTAAATATATCCCGTTAAAAGATATATAAACTTTTAATAAGCAAAATATCAACAATAAATCATGAATTGTCAGGATGGACATAAACCGAAGTTTCAGACATTCCTGAAAATTTAGCAGACGGTTGAGGATTAAACAGGTTTTAATTTTAAAATTAATCATTTCTTTTAAAATTTTTATAATTATTAAAATTTTCTATTTACAATTTAAATTTAATAAGAAGAATCGCGATTATAGAACCCAATTCACATACGTGCTCTCTTATTTTGGCAAAATTTTAAACGGATCTGATGACTTTAATGTATTATTAACAAAATATAAACAGCGACCATTAAAGTTTTGAAAGCCAGAATTACGTCTAGACCAACCATTTCAAAAGAAAAAAAAGAAAAACTTAAAATAACTCATCAACACGGTGATGTATGTTGATTCCGATTCTGTTGTTAAGTCTTGTTTTGTGATAATTGTTTTATTCATCTATTTGCATGGCGATGTACTATGTACAAGTCTAAAGTAAAACGTATGTTCTGTGTTCTGTTCTGTGAAAAAAGTGAATCTGACAGCTAGAAAAAAAGGTCATGATGTAGTAGAAAATATTCTAAACTTTCCTGATTATGTTATAAATACATCAATCATTCTTCTATAATAAGTAACATTTGTTTGATTTTTTCTCTGTAACAAGTTAGCTAGATTCATTTTATAAGACTGAACGCTCGTCTTATCTGACAGGTTTCCAATAAACTTTTGGTAATCGAAAGCAACAAATAAGAGAATTCAATGTGTTTAATATGGTACTTAGAGATCGCACATACAAATAAAAACACACAAGACATTGCTTATATTAGGATTGTCCGTGTAATGCTTAGGTATATCTTATAAAGAGATCATTTATCGTCGGCACATTATTATATGTAACAAAAACGTAACGTAAAAACTTCACATACAGGTATTGTTATTATTACAACAGTAATCTAGAACAAAAATATTGTAGTTGTACTTGAAATTAACCTTTTTTTCTGTATTGTTTGCAAAATTTGAATAGTATTTATTCAAAATGAGTCAGAAAAGAATGCTGAATAATTTTTGTTACTGGTTCCTATATTTGCTGTAGTTTTCAATGATAAGATTATTTTTATTGGTTTTTATTTCAAATTCTTTACTTAAATTTTCTTTTTCAGTATTTTCTTTTTATTGCCCGTTTTCATATAAATACATAAGTGAAAAATAAGTTCAACAATATGCTCTCAAAGAATTAGTTTAAAATAGAACATAATTAATATATTGTCATCGGACCAATCTTCTACAACAAAATGCAGCAAATAGAAACTGAGTATGTGTCCTCCTTGGCTCCTTGCCACTGGTTCTTCTTGCTGGGTCGTGTGGGGGGTCGCGTTCATTGCACGGAATAATAGTAACCGTCAAGAAAATCAAAGAAATCAAATAGATGATTGTTTAATAGACCCACTATGGAAATGGCACAGGGGAAGGAGATAGGAGATTCGGGGAAGGGTAGGGGGCAAAATTAAAAAAATACAACAAGGGGCAAAAGAGAAGATACTTACCGTAGACGAGAAAACAAGAGGGAGCACAAAAAAAAGTTCACCAAAACAGTATGAAACAACAAGACATACATCTGAGGAACACAGAGGCGCGCGGCCTTGGAATGGTCAGCAGCATAAGTACTACTGGGTATTTTAAACCGGTTAATGGTGCACCAAACCTCATTTTTAGCCCCACTATGTTCCTATAAACGCGGCAGTATAAATAAAATGAATCCGAGCCAAGTAAAAATTAAACAGTTGTTATGGCTACAAAAGGTGTAATAAGTAAAACACTAAAATGATCATGTAGAAACATATAAAAGAAAACGCAATGACCATAACAAAAGTGCTCAATGTCTTAAAGTTGACAGAGCAACAAAAAATCACCTACAATGACCCGACGAAGCAAGAAGACCATTAAGGCAATTCAGTCCCAAAGGGCTTTAAGAACTGAGAGAGTCTCCCGTCAGATGTTATCAAAAGAGGAAAGCGTAGTGTCAAACTATAAAATGGTTGAACACTAAACATGCAGTATGTCTTAAAATAGTAGGGTAATATCCTCTTTTAATAAGACGTTTAATGATTTTAGTAAAAACAGCAGACACATTACCATAACCCAAAATCTTACAAAGTTTGTAAATCATATCGCCATAAAAAACAGGCTGGCTAATCCCTTGTCACAGAAGTGTTCTTAAATTACTATTGAATTATGAAATTAAATCAAAATTACGATTGTAAAATTTTGTAAAATATTTCCGTAATTATAATTTATAATAGCGGTAGCCCTGTTTAAGAAGCTTGCTGGTAATGAAAATATTCCGTTTGTTTACGTTACTACAAGCTCTAGCGAATCTATTTAACTGAGAAACATATACACCGTAAGATGTCACATGGGGTACGTCTCCATCTAAATGCGGATAATTAAAAATACAATAGTCAAAGTCATCTCTTTTATCATAGATGTTCGTGTTAATAGAATTGTTGTTAGCAGTAATATAAAGATTCAAAATGATGTACTAAAATGTAAAAAATTCGTTTTATTAAGTAGTAGTTTATGTTATGTTTAAGTTATTATTGTTTGTAATATAATGTTGTGTAAAATAAGAAATGTGTGTTTCAACTAAATTAACGTGTTTTTTGTGTGTTTTTTTAATCAGTTCATTTTTTTAAGATATGTAAAAAGAAAGTATGATCAATAAAAATTTTTTCTAGTATTTTATCAGGAAAGCAGTTTGTAAATTGTTATAAAGAGAAGATAGAAATGTTGCAGTATGAACAAACACTTGTCAATGACGATGCTCGCATTTTTATGATATATTCCTATATTTTGAAATATGGCTTATCAAAGTTAAAAATTCTATGAAAAGCCCTCTTCGCCAAAACAATAATTTATCATTTTTTAAGGTCTATTAATATCCAATAAATCCAAGGATTTCCGAATCTTTATAACACTTCCAAATTTATTTGAGTAATTCTATTTGACTTACTGTTCAAAGAATTTCGCTTAGAATATGTAAACTCTGGTAGACTTTTTTCCAAATCACAATTAAGGTTTGAAGTAATTTTCTATTGCATTACTTTATTAATGAATTATCTTAATGTAGTTGCAATAACATGTATTAACCCAAAATATAATTATTTTTATTTTTTGGTTGTGCTTAAAAATATTGCCACAATTACTCAAAAGATGAGATAAGGGCTTAAAAGTTTTTTCGGCATTGATTTTAACGGTCATGTTTATCTAAATAACAACATAATATAACAACAGAAAAAGTAGAAAAAGGATTGATAGCATGACAAACCGTAGAAGAATAAGAAAATTATAGTAAAGAGTAAAAGTCAAATCTCAATTTTTATTCTGTTTAAAAATGAACCAAGATGTATATTTTTATTGTTTTTATTCTGTTACCGTTACATGAACGAAAATAATGTGTAAGTAATTATGTTGAAACATATGTTATTTAATTTTCAGAATGTTTTCAACGTCGGAAATGCGACTGATTTAACACTTAAATAAAGAACAATTGTCTAGACAATAAAGTATGGCAATATCACTTATAATGTGTTTCATTACCTACTTGAAAAAACGTGCAACATTTACATGTTTCTATATCTAATCAATCTATTTTCAGTTCCTTTTAGAGAAACAAGAAAGTTGTTGGTACCCAGAAAAAAGATACATGATTGTCGTGCTTATTGAAACTCAATGCAGAATTTTTAGGCATCTAAACACATTAATGAAAAAGTAAGGTAGGAAGTACACAGATAATGCCATATTTTTCATATTTTGGTATTTAATTAACATCGCGTTTCGGTATAACAATTAATTTTATAGCTGTAAGTGATAACCAAATAACCAAAACTTATTTCTTCATATCGAATAAAGTTGAAATAAGATCTTAGTCAATTTCATCGTGTCACACCACCCGTTATATTGAAAGGATTTAAACACAAAGTGTTGAGTACATGAAAAAAATATATGAAAAACTAAGTATGGACGAAACAATAAAATGAAAACAAGAAAGAAATGTTTTATTTTCACTCATAATTTTCTAATTGAAGATTTAAAAAGTCAATGTTTTTGTTTAATTGCGACCGAAATATGTCAATCTAATCGATGTCTTTGCTAACTGATAATACATGATTTATTAATGTGTCTAGTTGAAAAAGCGATACATTAAATACAATACGATTGCTTTACTTGCATTCAATGTCTCTGTAAATTATATTTTCAGGTTCAAACAATCTTGAAACGAAAGGCCGAGATAATGGAAGGCTTTGATAACAATGCTGGGAATGACAGAAAACGACTGTGTAAACGTTCACCTGTAGAAGACATAAATAATCTAATGTGGGAGTGGTTTCAAAATGTTATGAAACAAGGTGTCCGTATAAGTGGTCCTATGCTACAAGAAAAAGCGCTTATGTACGCCAAGGAGCTTAGAATATCAGAAGCTGACTTCAAAGCCTCTAAGGGGTGGCTCAATCGGTTCCGTGATAGACAGAATATTTCATTTCAAACTGTTGGTGGTGAAAGTGGTAGTGTAAGTTCAGAAACTGTACAACAATGGAAAGATAAGGTGCCCGACATGATCAAAGGATACGATAAGTGCGACATCTACAACATGGATGAAACAGGACTCTATTTTAGGGCACTTCCTGACAAAAACCTGTGTGTACGTGGTGAGGACATTAAGGGTGGTAAACGTTTAAAGGACAGGTTAACAGTCATGTTGTGCTCAAATATGAATGGTTATTTTGAGAAGCCACTAGTGATCGGCAAAGCTCGAGTGCCACGTTGCTTTAGAAATCTTCAAGTGAGTGATTTACCAGTTACATGGAAGTGGAATAAAAAAGCATGGATGACATCCGACATATTCACTGACTGGATTAAATCATTCAACAAACGGATGAGACATCAAGACAGGAACGTGATTCTGTTCTTAGATAACGCTACATCACATTCCTTAGACCTTCATCTCAGTAATGTGAAAATTCAGTTCCTTCCCAAGAACACAACATCCATCCTCCAACCACTAGACCAAGGAATCTTACAGAATATGAAAGTTCACTACAGGAAACGGCTTTTTAAATTTGTCTTTTGACGTCTTATCTGTGATACGCAGGCTTCATAACCTCTGATCCCCTTTCAAAATTCCATTTTTTTAGTTCCGCCCATTGTTTTCTCGTTTAGGGCACACGCTTTTTATTACTTGGGGACCATACGCCGCTTTTCATGGAATGGCACGGAAGTGTCACATTGAAGGTTCCATGATAACCGCCGTATGAACACATCTGCGGATGTTTCTAAATTCAAAATTTTACTATATCACGTTTAAATGTTGAATTCTGCTTAAGCCGGTGCTAGGGGGCGTGGACGGTAACTTGCACTTTCCAGTACCGTCCATGAACAGGCTCAATCAAACCGAGCCTGCAACATTTTCAATATTGCCGTGTTGGGCTTTCTTTAGGGATTCTGTATTTATCTATTTTATGATCACATCCGTGTTATTTGTGCCGTGTGGCGGCTGTAAAAAGTCTCCCCGTACATTTAATCAATGATGTTATATTTTCGATCCTTGAAGATCGTTCAGCACGACATTATTGTTGTGCTTGTGGTATTTTAGTTTCAACTTTTCGGCATTTTCTAGTTGGGTGGTTCCAATATTCCTACTTGAATAATGTTGAATCACCCTTAGGATATGTTGCCTGCTTTTTAAATTTGTCTTTTGACGTCTTATCTGTGATACGCAGGCTTCATAACCTCTGATCCCCTTTCAAAATTCCATTTTTTTAGTTCCGCCCATTGTTTTCTCGTTTAGGGCACACGCTTTTTATTACTTGGGGACCATACGCCGCTTTTCATGGAATGGCACGGAAGTGTCACATTGAAGGTTCCATGATAACCGCCGTATGAACACATCTGCGGATGTTTCTAAATTCAAAATTTTACTATATCACGTTTAAATGTTGAATTCTGCTTAAGCCGGTGCTAGGGGGCGTGGACGGTAACTTGCACTTTCCAGTACCGTCCATGAACAGGCTCAATCAAACCGAGCCTGCAACATTTTCAATATTGCCGTGTTGGGCTTTCTTTAGGGATTCTGTATTTATCTATTCTAAGATCTGTGTTATCTAAAATTGATGCTGACAGCTCTGTTAATGCTGAAGTGATTTCTAAGAGTGTAAATGTGTTGGATGCTGTGCGTTACGTTAGTTCTGCTTTGAAGGACATAACACAGAAAACTGTTTACAAGTGTTTTTTGAAAGCAGGAATCAACCCTGATTCAGAAACAGAGGAGTTCGAGGATGATGATGTGCCTCTTGCAGAGCTAGTGGAACTCATGAGAACTGCAAATGGTAGGATTGCTACTGTAGAGAGTATGTCGCTTGAAGAGTATGTTAGTGCGGACCGTGATATTCCAGTTCATGAGGAACTCTCACCAGAATGGGAAAGTGAACTGTTGAACACTGTGTGTAATAAATCTAAGGAATGTACAATTGCTGACAGTGAAAACCTGAATGATAATAATGAAGTTGATGATGAAAGTGATGAAATTGAAAGTTAACTTGTTCTGAAAACGCATAGGGAAGCAATTCAATCCATTGAAAACATTAGAATGTACTGTTTAAGTAAAGGACTTACAGATGTTGTTGAGTTGTTCAATTCCGCACAGGATAGACTCGAAAAGGATTCAGTGAAAGCTTTAGGGTGCTCTAAAAAAGAACAATTGACAGATTTTTTAAGTAAGGTGATGTGTCTATGACTCACATGAAATGTATAGTAATATGTAAAGGACTGATATGAGATAAAAAAAGAGACTTCTGACTTTCGCATGTATAAAATGTATATTTACCATTCTAAATCATGATTTGTTGTTTTAATGGTGTTTATGTAAAATTAAAAGAGACTTCTGACTTTCACATGTATAAAATGTATATTTACCATTTTAAATAATGTTATGTTGTTTTAATGGTGTTTATGTAAAATTAAAATACATCAAATACCTTTAATTAGTTGTTTATACAATGTGTCATTCATCTGCCAGTATACAGTTTCAAACAGTGACAAACATGTCTGCCTATCATTCCTATGTATTAACCACTGATATTGAAGGTATATGTGCCTTACTGGTGTGCTATAATCTAGGGTCTCAATAAAGAGACCGACTCGATAATAAGACCACTTTTTGCTAGACCCACAAGTGGTCTTAATAGCGGAACTTCACTGTTCTTGCATGTAGTCTATAACATACACGCACAAGTTTGTCGTTAATATTCAGCAGTTTGTAGTAAAAGGTCTAATGCAATTCGTATGAAATCATCAGGCTTTTTTTAGATATATACATATCTTATTCAATCTTCTTTCCGATGTATTGTGATACATTTGGTTTTTTATACTTTATGTGCAATATGTTTGATACCGTCTGTCCAAATACTTAAATGTATTTTATCAAAAAGGGTATTCATTTAACCTTTATGAATATTATTAAATATTTTATTTTCTATTCTAAATAACGTAACAAGCGTTTGTACGTAATTCAGGAACTTCTATTTCCTTTGCATAGCGCGTGTCTACCCTCAATTAAGTCATAACTTAAAATAATATTTGGAAAAAAAACTTTCGCTCATTCGTGTCAGTGTCTATGTAGATTCAATAAGGCATTTTACAGTAAACTAAATCAAATTAGAGTATGAACAACAATGATCTGTTAGTAATTATATTGTATGATGGCACATATACGTGTTTATAGATTAATTGTTTTTCTTTTTTTATAGTTACGCTATTTGAGTCAATAAATTTATGTAACAACTCAATTCTGATTATTTTTATTATACGGCAATAGTATCATCTGTTATAAAATACATGCTTTATAACAAGTTAAACCTATTGTGGCTTGTAAACAGTTTCTTTCTTCCACAAGTCAGATAAGTATTTGATACTATTCATGAATGTGTCAAATATTTATATGGCAAAGTTTGGAATTACTTGTATAAACCAGAAACAAGAAGAAAAATAAATTTAGATTATTTTCAAAAAATGTTTAGACTATAGCCATATGTTGGGGGGTTTTAGAACAAACTTACTTAATGAAAATTTAAGGGGATAATTTCTTTTTCGCTATTTTCGAAAATTGTTGTTTTTTTAAACAAATATAGACTGTGTTTTTGTGTGTTTTATAGTATTGATCTTCCATAATGTTAATTACAATATTAAAACAATTCTTCTCCTATTACTTTCAAAACAGACTTTTCTTTGATCTTATAAAATGTAATATGAATGTGTTTCCTGAACGTCAATATATTTTTATATATAGAAATTTACAAATAATGAGAGCAGGATGCAATTAAGTCACTTGTCAATGAATGAAATAAATGATCATATTAAATAATGAAAGTAATTTGTCATTGTTGTCAAGAATGTTTCAATAAGAATTTGAACATATTATTTGATCTTGTTTCTAAATGTCCTTTTTATATTAATATTTTTCACAAAGGTCAATATCAGTTAGATACCAAACCTTAAAAAGTCAGACTTCAAGTTTAATAGAACGTTTATTTGTATATATATATATATAACAATTTGTAATTTTGATTACGGTATAAATATGAATTAACTAATAATTCCACCTTACAATTGATATAATCACTTAGTCACCATAATAATAAATAATTGTCCTGCAACTATTAAAAGTCTTTGGAAATGCAAAAATGTTGTATTTGTTTTGTTACATAATGCGAAAGAGCGTGACTAAACCTAATAATCTTTTATAATAGCAAAAATTCAACCTACATAGACTAATGTATTAATTGTTCCTGACAGTGCATAATATTAACACTTAGCAAATATAATTCTATAGCTACACGAAAACATAAAGACATCGTGACATATATCGGATAATGCCGGGTATTCGAATAAAGGGTTGTCGAATAACCGGGGTCGGACTGTAATTGTAATACGGTGTTTACTGTAATGTATCATAATCGTGAATTAAAGGACGTATTCGGTATTTTTTTGTTGTTGTTTGCGCATTAAAATGCGCTTACAAGAAAGAAGATACTGTGTAGAAACTCTTCATAACGAAGATAGTTGAATAGTACTCGGATAATTGTTGTATATTTCGGCTACAAAACAAATAATGAGTAAACTACTTGCGTGTCATCCCGCCCACTAGTGGCAGTGACGAAAGTGCGTCACTGTTCCATTGTAATGGTAGACAAACAGACGGAGAATTATATTTTCTTTCTGTTATGGAATTTTACCTGGTATATAAAATATATATGATTCTATGAAAGAAAATTAAGAAATATTTCAATACCTTCGTTTATTTACAGAAATCATGTTTATTTTCTATTTTTTGAAAGACTGATTTTTAAAGAAATATGTTTAGATTATTGTTTGTTTCATACAGAATCAAAATGATCTATACATAAGATCATGTTTGTTGTGTGTATTAAGCTATCTTGAACAGTTTTTATTTATGTTTAATAAGCGAGTGTGGCTATTTTAACATTTTTGAGATGTACAGTTACCATGGAAACTGCCATTTTACAAAACATTCATCACGTCAACTTATATTTTTATTTTTGAATTCACCATTAAATTTTACTATCATACTATTTTTTTATAAATTCTTTGATAGGAGTAAATTTTCCTAAAACAGAAAACATGTCCTTAAATTGGATACGAGGTTACCATATGAAAGTGAGTTTGTTTAGTTTATCGAAGAGTTTAAATTGCAGTAGAGTGTTAACTAAGGCCTTACTTCTTGGGGCAATAATTACCAAAATCGTGATGAAAATACTTTTAACCCTTAAATTGTTATCTAACAAAATGAAAAGTAAACACTATTAGTTAATAATCAGTATTTTATCTACTTTATTCAGTATTTTATTAAGAAAAATTCAAATTTAAGGATGTTTCGCAATTACGGCCATAGCTGTGTAAAAAGACAATGAATGAGACAATGTCATTTTATTAATTCGGAAAAATAATTGTTTGAGTATGGTGATAAAGCAACAAATGCTTTAAAACCGTTATAAATAATATTGAATCTAAGTGTATCTTTTGTTAATTACCTTTAAGTTCAATCTGCAAAAATGTCAGAACGTTTAAAATTTAAAAATCAACCGAAACAGATTTTGCTAGGAACGGTTTACCACTGCCTGTTGTACTTTATGAAATTCACTGATTACTTGCTGAAATTATTGACTACCAATACAATCTGAAATGAGACGTAATGTTTGCAGTTGCCTTTTCAATTCCCCCAGAGGCAAGCAATTCAGTAGTTCTAAACTGCATTTTGATGCATTACTCTAATTGCTTCTGAGCTATAAGAGTTTTGTAATTTTGGTACATATATACGAGAGACATTGACAGGGCGAGAGACATTGACAGGGCCTGAAATAATTACAATCAAAATCTCCATTTAGAATTTTATATTTAGAGCGTGTAAGAAGCAATTTTGGAAACCCCAAAGGTAAGCGTGTAAAATTTGCAAACAGTGTAAAAAAACGAGGTATTTCAATTCTAAAAGAAGAAACTAATACATGTGTATATAATTTTTAATGATATATTGACATATTTATATTACATACGCCTCGTTTTGCTCGAGCCAGTACTGTTGAGAGCTGCTTGTAGGCGGTAACCTAGGAAACCTTCAAAATTTAGGACAACCTCGATTGTTTTGTTATTTCCAATATTATATTATATTATATTATATTATATTATATTAAAATGCTAATCTTTATATTCTCTCTCAATACAATCTCGGTGAAACAGTTTTGAAACAGCTGATAGACGAATGAAGATATTTTTGATGTGCCAAAATAAGGAATTGTGATACTGAGTCAAAATAAGGAATTGTGAAGATGTGTTCTCAAAATAA